CGGTAATATTGTTTCTAGCTAAAGACAATGATTTATACCAACAAGCCCCTCTAAACAGTTATTGGATATTCGAGTCTTATGATTAAAATATATAATTGAGATTAAGATCCACAAGAAATTATCACAACAATTCTTCCAGAAAAATTTAATATTCATCAACAGAATCAATTAATATTTTACAACCCAATAAGACTGCCAGAATTTGACTTTATATAAAATTGAGATCTTTTTTTCTTTCAGATTTTCTACTTGAATGACCAATGCATCTTTGCAGACAAAAAACATTTACTGGTGGGAGTCCATTAAATGAATCAGACACGATGTTTGCACCACCACCAACCACCACTCCACTGATATCGCAAGGTAACCCTGCATGTTCCTTCCCTATATGAGAAGGTAACCACATAATTAATGTCAGGTTGATCGTTCGGAAGAGATCACCACTATTAGATGCACTAGAAATATCTGAACAGGTGGCTGTGGAAGCACCATCTCTGTAGTTCAACTGACGAGCCTTAGATTCTGACATGTTCCCTCAGATTCAAATGAGTACACTCGAAACATCTATGTCATGGTTTTGTGAAGTGGGTTTAGACTCTTCATGCTTTTTTGTATTCAAGAAGCGACCACCAGAACCTCTGGCTCTCTTCAATGCATGTAGATGGCGAGACTCGTGAAATATGGCTGAAAACAAACATGGTAACGTTAAGGAGAGAAGTTGAACTTAGAAGGAAAAGGAAACAAAAGAGAAGTATGAGAAATGCTGTAAAATCACTCTTTTATGTTTTATCAAACACTTGTGTTAAAGAGTGATTTTACAGCATTTCTAAAATGCAGAAGTGCACTTACTTTCCGTTCTTTGATGAGTTTGTTCTGTGATTCAAGTTTTGCCCGGTATTGTCTGCGCCTAGAATAGCATGGTACTGCTTTGCATTCACAAATATAGGCTCCTCACTAAGATCAAGTGGCAGAGGAATTCTAGCAGTAGGCATTCCTATCAGCTGAGCAGGATGAATCTGGCCATTATTTGATAGCATGGTTAGATTATAGAAAATGCACATAATGTCTTAGTGTTACTAACATGATGGAAGTTTGAAGGCATTATGTAACTTTGTTAGGTCATTTAATTAAAATAAAGAATGAACACATCATAAGAGAATCCAAATACTCAAAAGCTTGATTATCCATAGAAGGCTCAATTTCTTTTTCCAACAACTCAGCATAAAGTTAGCAAGAGTAACCATGTGTCTGGTAAAGAATGCATGTCAGATTGTAAGTCTATAAAATAAGAACACCTTGAGTCAAAGATAAGAAACAAAGCTCTCCACCATAATAAAAAGTGCTTTAGTAAATAATAATACAAAGATGAAAGAATAAGAACAAATGAGGTGCAAAGGAGAGCAAAGAAACATTTTTAAACCAAAAAGATTCTTCATAGCATACTTATGAACTATGAGAATCTGTAAGGTTGGGCAGCTAACAGTGGCACAACAAAATAGTAAAACTAATAAGCATAGATATGCTGAAAGATTCTCAAGGACGTATATAATAAGTAAAAAAGGCACTATTGGTGATTCATTTAAATATGCATAATGATGGCAATTAATACAGGAATCCACCACAATAGCATCTACTTATAGTAACATATATCCAAAAGTCTCTCAGAAAGCTTTCCAATCAAATTAAAACTGCTAATAATAAGGGCAACATGCTTTCCCGAAAGACCTTTAACCTATTTTTAAGTCAACATCATAACAAAATCAGAAATCACAGAGTGGAGAATTAGAAAGTGAAAAACGCATACACAGATCTAAACAAAGTACTTTCCAGATACACCATAACCTGATGCCACTCATACTCATACATTATTTTATCAATTTGTTTGAATGATAAATCTTTAACTCATGTGCTGAAGACAAGCTGACAAGAATAGAAAATGTGAAAAAAAAATGAATAAATTCCAATATCTTACATTAGGTTGTGGGCCATATGGAGAAGCTAGTAGGCCACTAAAGCATGGCTCAGCAAGATGGAATGCAGTATGAGCCTGAAAAGCAAATTATAAGAAAAGAGATTTGCAAACAATATCAGTCCACTGAGATACAATCATACATCAACTTACAAGTGGCTGGTTGTGACACATTTGTGAAGGAGGTAAGGTAAAATCCTGACCACGAACAGATGACCTGATTACACCTTCTATACTCTTTCTCCCAGCTGTGTTAAGTGTCGAACAAGCAGAAGAATTGCTACACTGAACTGAAAATTGACCTACAGCAAGTATTTACCAACATCCATTAAGCAAAAAGTGTTTTCTGATAACACAAAAAGTACTTCTAGAGCTTTAAACCAAACATGCACTAAACAATCTAAGGACTAAGGTTAACTCTAATTTTTGGAAGCAAAAAGAAAATGCAATACATGTATGGCTATCATTGTTAAATGCTAAGTGATCAGGAGATATAACTTAACAGCAACATCACAAGCACAAATTGGTATTACTTCATTTTTTTCTTTACTATAAAGATTTCAGGTTCTCTTCATTACTTCACTGCAGGGTAAAACACGGGTATAGAACAATGAAAAAGAATCGATTAGAACAATCAGACATACAACAGAAAAAGACTAAGTTTTATTACAAGTACCTGATTGCGCTGAACCAACTTCCGGATAAGACTGACCAGTTGATTGAGATGAAGAAGAATCTCGGTCTTGATAATGAAAATTCAATGGCTTAGTCTTACGGCCTTGCTGCGGCAGAACACCCATTTTCAAGGTCAAACCTCTGGACATGGATGATTGTTGAACATCAGATTCAGAGGAAGCCCCCCATGACGAGCATCCAAGAGCATAAGGAGCTGTTAAATGGGTAGAACCAGAGCCTTTTTCATTTAAGTTCTTCATTGTTTTCCTCAATGGATCAAGCCTTGTTTAGAGTGTTTACCTTCAAACAGAGAATAAACCATTATCTAAAAACCAGGATTGGACTATGGCCTTTTTCCCAACAAACATCAACTATTAATGAACATTTCCATTCATACATGCAGAAGAAAACAAGGCAAAAAGGTTGAAGTAGCTACAATTCTAAAACAACTTATGGTTTGTGTATGAGAAAAAGCAGCCATCTTTGCATGTCAGTTTGTGGCATGTGTGTATCCAGAAAATAAACTCACGTACTGGAAAAAAGATGTAGGGAAGAGAAAGACATCATCTTTCCGTAAACAGACTTAGAAGCAAAGTAATTAGACAATATGAAATGCCATGCAGAAACTCCTAAAGATTTAACAATGTATGGTACGTCATCGAAAGCAAGAAGTTCCCTTTGTGGGTTTCACCCACTGATAAAGATATACCAATAATAAGAAAGTTAACAAATTTCTTTAAAAAGTATTAGTCTAGGAATCTTCTACATTTTCACAATCTTTACAAAGCAATCCAACCAAACAAAATAGACAGATAGATTGCATGTGAACGGTTAAATGAATTTGTGAATATAGGAAAAGAAAAAAGAAAAGTGAGGAGTGGGAAGAAAAGGAACTGTTTCTTTTGAAGACTTTTAACAGCATAAAAAGCATACCAAAATTGAAAAGCTTCTGCATAAATGGTTAATTCCCAGAATATTCACAGAAACAAGAAACAAAGTCATTGCCAAAAACAACAATAACTTATCATCCATCAGCAAACACAAGCCTGTCTCTGCCTTACACATAACAAGAAATCCTCTATCTAAGACCAACCTCAGATTCACTACCATGCCAGAAAAAAAAATACTTTTTTCCAAAAAAACATAAATTAACAGGAATGGAAAAAGAGAATGAAGGCAGATGTACAGGAAGGAATAGTAAAAAGAGAGAAAGACACCTCGAAAAATCAGTAAAGTGACGAGGAACAAGAAAATGGTACTAACCAAAAGCTGTGCATGTACATATGTATGTACTTAAAAGCTAAGAAGAAACTCTCAATCTGAAACAGAAGCTGAAACTGAAAGTGGTACCCCACTATTGTCTCACACTCCTCCACTTCATCACCCTTTGCTTGTGTTGATCTCTTTAAAGTACAAAGTCACAGACTTGAAAAACTATGAACTCTCTCTCTCTCTCTATATATATATATCTATATGTATCTATCTTTCTATCTCTGCATTAACACAGTCAATTAAGTTCAATTTCAAGACTCAAAGTGTACTCTCTCACCACTCACCTTCCACAGGCTACAGCACCAGCTTTCTCAATTCTCCATTATCAAAAAATAATATTTTATTATCATTAACGTTAAAGGGAGAAAAGAAAAAGGGTACCCATGAAAAAAATCCATTGATGAAGTAACCTTTTTTCTATGTGACATTGACATATGACGATGTGAATATGATCACATCCTAATCTGAATAAAAGGGTTTTAGAAAGTAATAATTAAATATTGAAGGGCTGCAATTGAACATTGTCGCGTAGTGGTACGTTGAAATTTGCATAGGGATTTGGGGTTTGGTTTTAAATATTAGGGCTTCAAGTTTCAACTTCATATCAGACTGTGATGCCTCCTACTCATAGACTTCTGTGTGCTTCTTAAATGCACTCCACCTCCTTCATTCTTCACGCGCTCCTCTTTTACTTTCTTTTACACTGTCTTTCCCTTCTTCTTATCTTTCATGGATTTTCATGAACTGATACTGAATTTTTACCTCTTTTACAGGGATCAATGGAAGAAGAAGAAGAAAAAGGAATATAAAATTAACCACTCTTCCCCTCTTCTTAAAATTATCAACTTTTTTTAAATGATTTAGTGCTTCTCATTTTCAAATTTTTTATTGCTATTATTTTATTTTGAATTAAACTTTTAGGATGTTTTTACTTTATAAAATTTGAGTGACCAAATATATGTGAAGAAATTTGAGAATAAATTTATTATCTTTTATTTTAAATAATTCAGAAATAAGTGAAATTAAATTTAAAAATAAAATTAGTGAATATTAGTGTATAATTTAATTACAAATAAAAAAATTGTTTAATTAATAAAAAGTAAAAATTATTAAAATATTTTTTGTAATAAAAGTAATATAAAATTATAATTGTTAATTTATATAATTGTAAAAAGATTTATAAGAGAAAAAATAAAAATTAAATTTTTACATATGAAAAAATTATATTATTATTATTGTTATTAAAAAACTGTAAGGTAATATAATAAAACTAACCAATTTTCTTTCTATCTTTTCTAACACGAGAGATGAGAAAAAATAAATAATTCTATTTTTTCATCCAACATCACCCTCATATAATTTCAAACGAACATAAAAAAATTCACTTTTATATCTTCTCAATCTCCATCCACATGAGAATAAATTCAAACAAACAAAACATTAATAATAATATGAAAAAAACAATATTTTTTGAATGAATATGATAGTACGGTCTTAAAATCTGAAATTTAAACTTTAAATCAAATTTATAAAAATTAATTTTGAAATGATATCACTGTAAATTAACTTTAATTTAAGTTAATTGTTTAACATATTTATCTATTTATGCTTGATGTTATGTTATCAAAAAATAAAAATAACAATAGAAAAAATTATGAATTTTTTCGGTAAAATTTATTATTTTTTCACGCCAAATGAAAATAAAAACAATAAGTAGAGTAAAACGTTTTCTATATATCAAGTGCTAAAATAAATATTTATAAAATTAGACTATATAAATTGTGTTTATAGTTTCAAAAACTATAATAAAATGAATTAAATCTGTTTGACATGCGTATTATAACGTCTATTTTTCTTCTTATTAATACTAGTTGGTTGTGTATTCTTGTTATTATCAAAGTTATTGAGAAGAATGAAAACTTGAAACTTGGTAAAAGTCGTGCAAATGTTTCCACGGATTAATTAGAAATTATTACTAATTTAAAAGTTTATAAATAAAAAAGTACACATTGATTCTTGTTTTATTTTAAAACTGTATCTCTTTCAAACACAGTTTGAACTCTCTTTTTCAGTTAAAAAAATAATTACTTTTATGATATTATGTTATATATTTAAAGAGTTTGAAGATTAAATATAGTTTTGACTTTTGTAAGTAAATATATTTTAGTATAATTTTAACTTTTTTAATGATTTGTATAAGGAAATATATTGGTACGGTATTTAATTTATATATATTTATATGAATGTGATTGGATTTTGTTGTAACTACTAAGAAGAATTTAAATATAGTTTTATTTAGAAAAAAATATTTTAATATATATAATTCTTTTATATTTATTTAACATTTTTTTTATTTTCTATTTTTAAAATTATAAAAAAATATTTTTGTTGCGATCATTTATTTTATACCATATGTAAAATGAATATAAAAATATATTATCTATCATTACTTTTCTATCTAAGACAATATAGTATTTATTTATATGTAGTTTAAAATTGTGGAATTATCATATCGATATGTTTATATAAAAATTTATATGTATACTTTTATGTATAATTTTGAATATAATAAAAAAATATATGGGTTGAGAAATGATGAGAAATTTAAAAGAATGCAATAATGTGTTTTTTTATGTATGGAAATGTACGCAGATAAAAAAAAATTATATTTTTCTCTATTGTTTGAAATGGTTATTTTTGTATTCAGTGTCATTCAAGTAATGTATAATGATAATATAAATTGATTATTATTACTCAAGCAATAAAACAAATACTTAAATAATTATGTATGTAGCTTAAAGTCATGTATCTGACACACTACTTTTACATAAAAAAATATATGTTTGCACAGTGTTTTGTATATACTTATATGAATTTGATTGAATTTTTTTAAGTACTAACACATTTCATTAATTATAAGATAGGTTAATATTTACTTATATTCAAGGGTTTGATAGTTTAAAAGTGTGAAGACTTTATGGTTGAACTATTACAATAACAGAATTTAATGGTTGTAGAGCGTTAAGATATTTTTTTTTCATTAATTTTCATCAAATTTGTATGTTCTAGATGATTAAGGGTAATAAAATCTTTATTTGTTTATATGTTTTATCTTGAATTTAATGTTTAAGTTTAAAATTTTCATGAATAAAAATGTTTTTAGTTGTTGAGAAGTGATTTGAAACATATAATAAATAAAATAATAAAGTGAATTGATTTTGGAAATGGTTTTAATTTCTCTCTATCATTCATTCTAGATATACAAGCTTAATGCAATTTTAGTGTTAAATGAACTAAAGAATTAATAATTTAGTATATTGATTTAGAACTTATTCTAAAGGAATTAGAACTTCTGAAAATTTGATAGAATATTTACATTTGATTTATGAAATCTAATTCTAATAAAGTTTTTATTAAAACACTTTATAATTAGTTAGAATTTTAATGTTTGTAATCTATTTTAATCCTTGATAATTTTAACAATGACTTATTTCAAAGTTATAATTACTAAATTAGCACAATTAATTAGACAAAGAAGCATAAATTCTTCAAATATATATATATATATATATATATATATATATATATATATATATATATATTTGAAACTTCTATTAACTATTTGTAATGAATTAGTATATACTTAAAAAAAGTTAACATTTAATTGATCATTCTTGACTCACACAATATTATATTCTTATGATATAAGTGACATTTTATTAACTCACACAATACTTTTATGATATATGTGACCTTTTATGGATAATCCTTGTATGTGATTTTTAATTTAGCATATTTGTCATGTAAATGAAATATTATGACTTTATTGAATGTTATCACTTATATTAAGAAGTGTTAAAAGTTTGAAATTTTTTATGCAGTAAATGTTCTAATTATGTCATGTTCTAATTAAAGATGACAGAGAATTATGACATTTTATGACAATACTTTTAATATATATTGTTCATTGTGATGATAAATACATTTATTTTGATAACCATGTACCCGTATAATCTTTATGTATGCTGATGATTAATGAATCATAACATATACATATATGTAAAATTTATATCATATCAGATAACAAGACAATAGTGTGTACAAGTTCTATTTATTTTTTATTTCAAATTTTTAAAATAAATTTAATTGGTTTGATACTATAATTTTAAATGTACGTTATATTTTTTTTTCAACTACTTGGTAGGAAGCTGTATATCATTATATTATTTTCAATCACTAATAGAAGAGAAAAACTATTAAGATTTTAGTGATATCATATATAATTTATTTTTACTTTTTATTAAAATTATTCATAAATATTCGGACAAATATTAGCAAAAATGAATATCTTTGAATATGAAAATAAAAGACAAATTTAATATTATTGAGTATCATTGTAAGAAAAAATGTATAATATTTTACTTCAAATATTAAAACATGTAGAGTCAAACTTGCATAGCCTCCCTGTAAGACTCATGAAAAATATTTACTTTAATAGTGACAATTTTATTATTAGTAGTAATAAATTTTTTAGTGAATGGAAAATATAATAAGTTTATGTAAAAATAAAATGTGAAAAACTAAATAAAAAATTTTGAGTAGCTTAATTGATAGAAAATTATGGTGATTTCAAGAACATGGATTCAAACTCTTTTCTACCTTATTGTTAAAAAAATAATATTTTTTTTAAATATTGATAGTGGATAAAGCACTCAGATTTAAAGACATTATTGAGGATCCAATATGTCAAGTGGTGATTAAAATATTAATATAATAAAATAATATTAAAATAATAAATAATATTAAAAAATTGTTGAATAGTAAAATTTTTGGACTATAAATAGCCATGAGAGGGGAAGCTATTATGCACAAAGAGTGAGAAATCTTGAGAAATAGAGAAGAAATAGTTAGGAAGAAATTTTTAGTTGCAAGAAGAGTAGAGAGGTTCTGGAGGGTTTTCGGGGAAACGAATTCTGATCAAGAGATTAAGCATCTATGTTTTTCATTAACAGTATTCACACAGAACCCTCCAGAACCTCTACTCTTCTTGCAACTAAAAATTTCTTCCTAACTCTTTCTTCTCTATTTCTCAAGATTTCTCACTTGATTATTCCTCTCTTCTTTTTGCAGAATAACCTCCCCTCTCATGGTTATTTATAGTCCAAAAATTTTACTACTCAACAATTTTTTAATATTATTTATTATATTAATATTATTTATTATATTAATATTTTAATCATCACTTGACATATTGGATCCCTCAATAATGCCTTCAAACCTGGAGCGCTTCATCCACTATCAATATTTTAATTTTTTTTTTAAACTAAAAGGTAGAAAAGAGTTTGAACCCATGTTCTTGAAATCACCACAATTTTCTACCAATTAAGTTACCAAAATTTCTTATTTAGCTTTCCACATTTTATTTTTACATAAACTTATTATATTTTCCATTTACAAAGAAATTTATTACTCATGTGTCTTACATTCTCCCAAACAACAAAAGAATTTTCAACCTCGAAAATTCTATACTTCAAGAAAAATATATGATAGTACGATATATATATATATACATATATATATATATATATATATATATATTAATTTATTTATTTAGTTTCAAGTCAATTACAACTTCTAATAGTTAAGTGTTAGTACATAATGAGTATGATAATATATATATCAGATGTACTGTATATCACTCTTAACTTCCTTTATGGGTTACCTAGTCAATTCAATTTATACTAATTACTCTACATACAAATACCAGAGCATTTTTTTTTTTAAAAAAAATATAACAAACATCTAGCTCTTTCACAAATCAAATATCATACACAAGAAATTTATCCAATAATTTCCCATACTTCTCACGTATACCAACATTATTATTATTATTATTATTATTTAAATAACCGAAACTGTGACACAACCGGTAGCAACGACCGAAACTGTTGCTATAGTGAAAATGTTTGGCTATAACTAGAGTATTCCTCCGCGTTGAGAGACACTTAAGTCTCATAAGGGAGCTTAAGTTTGCTCTCCTTGAGTGTCCTTTGAGAGTGTCCTAATTTTGTGAGGAGTCTCTCTCTCTAAGTGTGCCTTTTGTTTTCGTTTTCTTTTAAGTGTTTCATCCTCTCAATCTTTCGTTTTGTTCCTTCTTTCCTTTAAGCTTTCTTTTAATCTATGTTCTTTTGCATTTACGTTCGTTCCTTGTTCTTGTTATACTTGTTTGTTTGTTTTGTTATTTCACCACTCTTCACTTTTTTTTATACTGATAAACTAATAATGGGGTATATAAGCTGGAAAACTGTTGTTAACCTCCCTTCGTTTGAAGGTATGATAGAGGAATTCGGGTAGAACAATGCTATGTACCCTAAAAATTATTTTAGCTTAAAGAAATCATGGATATAAACTTGTTGGACATAGATCTAGTAAGATCCTTTGCGAGGACCGAATGATACATCTAGACTGGACTTCAAATTAGACTATGGACAAAATTGAGTTAAAAGAAAACTAATTGTATCAACCCTCTTTAACACAAACATAATATTCCTTCACTTTTGTCTCTTAGAAAAATGAACAAAAATTTAAAAAATTTGGAAGTTCAAGACAAGCTGGGATATAAACGATGGAGTCCTACTAAAGAACAAGTTGCTCTACTAGAAGCCCTTTTTGCATTTGGGATACAAAATCCAAATAGAGAGCAAGTGCACGAGATTGCAACGAAACTTAAAATTTATGGGGAAATTAGAGAGTATAGCGTTTATTGTTGTTTTCAAAATTATGGGTATGTGACAACGATGCTTGAAGTAAAGCACCACCACCACATCTTACTCTCCACTACCCCTTTTGCCACCTTTTATGAATGGTAAGATATGTTGTATTTTTTATTTATTTGTTTTTTATTTATTATTTTTATTATTATTATTTTAACATTTCTAATTTTATTTATTTGGAGATCTTGCATGGGTAGCGTATTCGGTTCCAGATCAGGTGACGTTGGATCTTTTTCCAATCCCTCCCGTTCCTGATAAAAGAGAGATTTCCCCTCCTCTATTGTTCCCAGTGAAAGCTCCTTCCGTTGAACTTTCCTTATGATTGTCTTCCGACCGAAGAATAGTCTCCTCGAGGAGACTACAATTGTCTTTTATATATTTCTATTTATGAACTATAATCTTTAACGACCACTTGTGATCGACTTTTGAACATCTTTATTATTATTATTATTATTATTATTATTATTATTATTATATATTTATTTATAGACTTAAATCTAACGTAAATTAGTTAACCATCATTTTTTTTAAACATGGTTTAAAGTTGATTCCTTGATTCACGGTAAAGTAACTATGCGTCCTTACTGTCAGATCTGTCGGTTTGTTTTTATCTAGGAGCATTAATTTGTTTATTTATTTTGTTTAAGTAGTGTAAGATAGATTTTATTTACCACAAGGGTAAGACCATCTTCAGTGTAATGGTTAAGTCATTTGGTTTTTCAATAACTACTCATATTGGTGTTTCTTCCTCAATAATTCTATTAAAAACCTCATTTGAGTGGAAGACAAATGTCGAATAAGGGAGACTGGAAATCAAAAAGTGGAAGACAAGTGTGAGCAGTCGAGTGATTGTTCGGTTTTGGAGGGTAGAAGTAAAACTTAGTTTTCAAAATTCACGCTACTCTCTGCATGCAACCATCTTCTTCAATCTTCGGAAACGGATGTTCAATCTTCCTTCCTCGGTCTATACTAAGGTAAAATTGGACGCTTGAAGAGTTGTATTGATTTTGGGTATTTACAAGACTCAAGCCACAAGTGAAATTTTCAAAAAGCTTAGGAAGGAAAATCTATTATTGTAAATTTTTACTCTGATGATGAAATTAATTAAATCTTATGTATTTCCTTGATTATTTCAGTTTAAACACATCCTACTTACCTATATATGTGTCTAGCCAGTTTAACGTGTAACGCTAGTTATTAATTAATTCACTTAATTGGTATCTACACTTATAATATTAAAACTTAGTACATTATCCAGCAGTACTCCTTACATTTATAACTCACTAATTTAACTTTAAAAATATATTTTTCGTTGTTTTTCATTCAATGATTTACTTACAATCTAATTTAATTTGAGGTAATTATTGGATAAGTTTTTTAATCTATCTGAGAACTTTCTAGTTCCATAGATAAGTGTGGGGTTGTTATCATTACGGCAGTATTTTTTATTATTATTATTATTTATAATGTTTGCATCTGAGTTTAGATAAATTACTTCTCCAAAAAAAAAAGTTAGTATCGAATGAAATATATGCATTTATTGTCTTAGAATATATAAAATCATTTATATCAGGTAAGTCCACTAAATGTTTTAAGTCATTTATAACTTTTGAATGATATACTAATATATATAATTTTTAAATTAATGAGCATATAGTTTTTGATAAATATGAAATTTGAGTTTTATCTTCCTTTTTTAAAATAAAAAATGTATAAATATATATATATATATATATATATATATATATATATATATATCCAAATATTTATTAAATAATTATTTTAAAAACTTAAAAGAATATCATAAAAAATTTATCATCAAAAGATATATATATTTTCTTTAATGTTTAATAATAATAAAAATATAATTACATAAATTTCATAATAAAGAGTTAAATGAACTAAAAGTTATTTAATAGTTTGAAATGAAAACAAATATGGAGTATAAACACATCACCTTCTCAACATACAATTAAAAAAGTGAGAAGCTACATATTTTATCAATTTGAAGTTCCAATCAAAACAAGTTTAAAACATAATATATGCTATATAGTACACCAAACACAACATGTAATGAACATAAAATTAGATTATCAGGAAGGACATAATTTTGTCATGTCTTACAAAATAAAATTAAAAAAGACGACCAATAAGGGTTGGCAGCTAATCATGATGTCCTATATTGATATTTAATACTAGTTTTGATGGTTACCAAAAAAGTATGATATATTAGCAAAACTGTAGCGATATTTAAAATTTATTTTTGGAAGGTAGTTATCCTTTTCATTTCCTTATTATACAACGTTGGTTATCTTTACTATTTATATTTAATGGAAGACAATAGCAACTTATGTTTCATGAGATAAATTATAATATATATATTGTGTACAACATATTATGTTGCGTTACAATACAATATATTATATTACAGAAAGCGGACATAATGGAAGGGTGATCTGCACTGAATTAAGTTGATCATACTATCATATTTAAAATTGCTTTACTTAAAATACAATTTGTAAAATTAAGCAATTAAGACTATTTAATTTGGAAATTCAGAATAGTTTAAGTTAATTTTTTTTAGTATTTCTAAAATAGTTTTAAGGTTTTTAGTTTTTGAACCTAAAAATTTTAAAATTAATAAATATTTACATAAGTTTCCGTCATATAATATGGTAATTCACAGATGCATCATTTATCGGTAAAGTGTTAAAAGTGCAATTTATATGGGTAATTCACTGATGCATCATTTCTTTCAATCAAACACGCATATGAAATATACCAGTATCTAATGATAACCTAATGAGTGCATACATGATTAAGGGTCAAAAGAATGGTAGTAATTAAACAACGGAAGACACACATTAAAGTAAAAGTTGCACAATAATAATACTAATGGGGAAATGTCAATCTGAGTATTACATGACAGAAAACTGAGAAATCTCAGAAGATGTACGAGAGAGTATAACAGAAAATAACTTTTATCCCATAATAAGTCAGCCCAGCATTACCAAACTCTTATGGAAATTCTCCCATAAGCTGCTGATATTCTTATCTTTTGAAATTCTTTAAGCCATCACACTGTTCATTCTTTTCAGGCAAAGATGCAAGTGCCAAGCATGGAGTCAATAATCCCGTCCTTTATACGGCATCTCCTGTAAAACAAATTTGGAAGATTGAGTTTCCAAAATGCTGACCATAGAACTTATCCTGGAAATATGCCAAGGAGCTAAGTTTGTTCAAATCCAGATCAAATGTCTAAACGGTGAAAAGTCCTGCTCCGTGCCTCTTACAAGGAAGGATGTCCAACATCGGCATATATAAACCATAGAGATAACTATTCTTATCATGTGTCTTTCTCACATTAAGATGCACAAAATTAAAAAATACACAAGTGAAGCCTTCTAATCAGAGTAATGGAAAAGGGAAAACATTTTTTGAATAAAAACTAGAAAAAATAATAGAAACTAAAATTTATGAGCAAAACATGCGAGTCCTTACAGGTTGGAAGCTTGGCACATATAAAACTTGCCTAGGATGACCCAGAAGTTGTCCATACTGCGATACGATTAAAATATTACATAACTGAGACTATCTTTGACCATTAAAAGTCACCAAAGAGAAACTACGAGTAAAATCCCACCTGTGGTCCGTTTGGATGAAAATATGGCTGTGATGGCATTTGTGCCACTTGTGGATTATACATAACAGGTTGTGGCCCAGCAAAAGTAGTTCCAACCTGCAAAACATAAGCAATTTAATCAAACAGAAGTCAGAGGTTACAGGGTACAACTTTTCGACCTTGCTATGAAAAGATAGGTCGATTTGGTACTAAACCAATAAGCTGAATAATACTCTGATTTGCTTAAGATTTTTCTCACCAAACAAAGACAGTCTCAAGGTATGGTCTACAGAGATGAGAAACAAGACAAGCATGTAATTACTAACATTCATCTTTTTCACATCCCATAACTAATCAGGAAATTCATGCCTTAATAAAATAAGTTAAAGGACCAACCCAACCTAATAATCATTGAGAAGTACACAAGAAGCACCAATCCATTCAATATCAGTTCATGACAGCAGCCAGAAATATTGTTAGGCCCAGGCAATCAATATATAATAAATACACTGAACGCCTCGAAGAAACCTTTAAAAAGAACTTCGTGAAAACACTAATTACAATAGTATAATACATAATTTCCTGATTGCAGAAAGACAATAACATTCCATTAAATACTTACTCCAATACCCATAGGCATGGCTGGCATATTTGGTACGGTAGATACAGTAGCTGGGTAATAAAAGGAACCATCAGACACCGGGGAGCGGGGCCTAGCATGTGCTTGGGATGGCATAAAACTCTTTGCATTGGGGTTCAGTTTGAACTCCTGANATATATATATATATATATATATATATATATATATATATATATCCAAATATTTATTAAATAATTATTTTAAAAACTTAAAAGAATATCATAAAAAATTTATCATCAAAAGATATATATATTTTCTTTAATGTTTAATAATAATAAAAATATAATTACATAAATTTCATAATAAAGAGTTAAATGAACTAAAAGTTATTTAATAGTTTGAAATGAAAACAAATATGGAGTATAAACACATCACCTTCTCAACATACAATTAAAAAAGTGAGAAGCTACATATTTTATTAATTTGAAGTTCCAATCAAAACAAGTTTAAAACATAATATATGCTATATAGTACACCAAACACAACATGTAATGAACATAAAATTAGATTATCAGGAAGGACATAATTTTGTCATGTCTTACAAAATAAAATTAAAAAAGACGACCAATAAGGGTTGGCAGCTAATCATGATGTCCTATATTGATATTTAATACTAGTTTTGATGGTTACCAAAAAAGTATGATATATTAGCAAAACTGTAGCGATATTTAAAATTTATTTTTGGAAGGTAGTTATCCTTTTCATTTCCTTATTATACAACGTTGGTTATCTTTACTATTTATATTTAATGGAAGACAATAGCAACTTATGTTTCATGAGATAAATTATAATATATATATTGTGTACAACATATTATGTTGCGTTACAATACAATATATTATATTACAGAAAGCGGACATAATGGAAGGGTGATCTGCACTGAATTAAGTTGATCATACTATCATATTTAAAATTGCTTTACTTAAAATACAATTTGTAAAATTAAGCAATTAAGACTATTTAATTTGGAAATTCAGAATAGTTTAAGTTAATTTTTTTTAGTATTTCTAAAATAGTTTTAAGGTTTTTAGTTTTTGAACCTAAAAATTTTAAAATTAATAAATATTTACATAAGTTTCCGTCATATAATATGGTAATTCACAGATGCATCATTTATCGGTAAAGTGTTAAAAGTGCAATTTATATGGGTAATTCACTGATGCATCATTTCTTTCAATCAAACACGCATATGAAATATACCAGTATCTAATGATAACCTAATGAGTGCATACATGATTAAGGGTCAAAAGAATGGTAGTAATTAAACAACGGAAGACACACATTAAAGTAAAAGTTGCACAATAATAATACTAATGGGGAAATGTCAATCTGAGTATTACATGACAGAAAACTGAGAAATCTCAGAAGATGTACGAGAGAGTATAACAGAAAATAACTTTTATCCCATAATAAGTCAGCCCAGCATTACCAAACTCTTATGGAAATTCTCCCATAAGCTGCTGATATTCTTATCTTTTGAAATTCTTTAAGCCATCACACTGTTCATTCTTTTCAGGCAAAGATGCAAGTGCCAAGCATGGAGTCAATAATCCCGTCCTTTATACGGCATCTCCTGTAAAATAAATTTGGAAGATTGAGTTTCCAAAATGCTGACCATAGAACTTATCCTGGAAATATGCCAAGGAGCTAAGTTTGTTCAAATCCAGATCAAATGTCTAAACGGTGAAAAGTCCTGCTCCGTGCCTCTTACAAGGAAGGATGTCCAACATCGGCATATATAAACCATAGAGATAACTATTCTTATCATGTGTCTTTCTCACATTAAGATGCACAAAATTAAAAAATACACAAGTGAAGCCTTCTAATCAGAGTAATGGAAAAGGGAAAACATTTTTTGAATAAAAACTAGAAAAAATAATAGAAACTAAAATTTATGAGCAAAACATGCGAGTCCTTACAGGTTGGAAGCTTGGCACATATAAAACTTGCCTAGGATGACCCAGAAGTTGTCCATACTGCGATACGATTAAAATATTACATAACTGAGACTATCTTTGACCATTAAAAGTCACCAAAGAGAAACTACGAGTAAAATCCCACCTGTGGTCCGTTTGGATGAAAATATGGCTGTGATGGCATTTGTGCCACTTGTGGATTATACATAACAGGTTGTGGCCCAGCAAAAGTAGTTCCAACCTGCAAAACATAAGCAATTTAATCAAACAGAAGTCAGAGGTTACAGGGTACAACTTTTCGACCTTGCTATGAAAAGATAGGTCGATTTGGTACTAAACCAATAAGCTGAATAATACTCTGATTTGCTTAAGATTTTTCTCACCAAACAAAGACAGTCTCAAGGTATGGTCTACAGAGATGAGAAACAAGACAAGCATGTAATTACTAACATTCATCTTTTTCACATCCCATAACTAATCAGGAAATTCATGCCTTAATAAAATAAGTTAAAGGACCAACCCAACCTAATAATCATTGAGAAGTACACAAGAAGCACCAATCCATTCAATATCAGTTCATGACAGCAGCCAGAAATATTGTTAGGCCCAGGCAATCAATATATAATAAATACACTGAACGCCTCGAAGAAACCTTTAAAAAGAACTTCGTGAAAACACTAATTACAATAGTATAATACATAATTTCCTGATTGCAGAAAGACAATAACATTCCATTAAATACTTACTCCAATACCCATAGGCATGGCTGGCATATTTGGTACGGTAGATACAGTAGCTGGGTAATAAAAGGAACCATCAGACACCGGGGAGCGGGGCCTAGCATGTGCTTGGGATGGCATAAAACTCTTTGCATTGGGGTTCAGTTTGAACTCCTGACAACAACAAAGGGGAAGCTCTGAGAAATGCCAATAATATAAAAAAAAAATTGTGTCTACCTTAAAATAATCAGCAGTCGTAAGTGAAATTTACAACTTTGTAAGATCAATCTTGCACTTTCTCACCTTGGCATAGGGATTCAGAGTTGACTTTTCCGAAGACAGGGAACCAACCGAAGAACTTGGTGATAGAACCGGACCAGAGGTTGATGTAGAACTACCTTGTCTTCCACGTGAAATTACAGTCTTTGTTCCCCCAACCGACACAGTTTCTTCAGGAGTCTTCAATAAAATATGAGTAGAAGGAGCACAGGAGGGCCCATTAAAAGATAAACCCTCTTCCTTAGAACCTTTGTTCTTGGACTCAAGTGATGACTTTAAATCTGCACTAAAAGTTGCCAATATCAGAGAAATATAACATAATAAAAGAACCAATCAATGAAAAGAAAGTTCAATTGCAGGTGAGAGCTTCTATTCAGAAGCATTATCAAATCAAGTACCGACAAAAAGCTTCATCACTTCCTTCATAATAAACAGAATAAACACTTGAATGAGAGTGATTAGGTTACATCCACATTAGTTTCAGGCACGGTGCATTCAATTTAATCAATTCGGGGAGCTGAGAAAGAAACTATACTAACCCTGAGATTTTGACAGTTGGACATCCTCTGCTTGCTGCATCAATTAAAAGTAAAAAAATAAAGAAAATGAGAAAGATGAGATTTAAGATTTTATAGCTATCTCGTGTGAGATATTTGAGCAGATATGATATGACAGTTGTAACTCTGACTCACTATCCAATTTTCTTCCGCAGTATTATCAGTGGCTCCATGTAGGTTACTAGCCGAGTTCTCCTGAATCCTGTCAGTTGGATTTAAGAATTATGACAATGTTGATATTATGCTTTTGTGTTTCAAGAGCCCTTGAGCAGAGAGATTACAATAATTATGATGAATTAAATAATTCTATAAAGAAAACCAAAAAAAGAATAAAAAAGGTCGACAAATATACCTGATTTCACCATCTGAAAATGAGCAACTCTGGGCAGGGAGTTCAGAAGCTAACTGCTTAGCATGATCATTAGAACCAGAACGACACAAATCCATAGCAGTAGTTGACTGGGGTAACTCCGAGTGATCCTGGTGATTAAAGCAAATGTAATATCAAGCTAAATTTACGAAATTAAGTGATTACTTTATAAGGAACAAGGGAGGAGAAAGCAAGAGTATGAATAAAAAGGAATATCATATTTCTTTGTTTTGGACACAATTTACAAAATTTGTAATATGTTTAAATGTTAAACTCATACTGATTTCAAAAACAGAAAGAGACTGAAAACATTTAGCACACTTCCAAGCAGAAATTATACATACAAAAATTATCATAACTCTACAAAAATAAATCAAATGTTGCCTGCTTAATTGTGATATTTTATCGATAGTACTAGCACAAGAGTTGCTACATTGAAACGTCACCTTCCCCCACCTTAGGCTGGAATTTAAGATACTAACACACCCAAAATTGGATTTGGATGTAGTGTGCTTGTCAAAACCAATATCCTTAGGGTTTGGGTGGGGGTGAGGATGAAAGATCATGAAGAGGCGGTTGAAACACAAGTACCGAAAATATAACAGGGTTTTTTTACATATTTAATACAATAAGTAATTAAAATATGTAATATAATACCACCAAATATCAGGCAAGAATTTTATGTATTTATTTCCAAGTTATTGCACTGTATTGTTGAAACATAAATTTGATAGCGATTATGGAAAGGAAGGAAAAAAGAGCAGAAAGATAACAGAAAAGGTTAATTTCAAATGAAGGCCCAGAACAAACCACCCAGTTCATGGGTTTCAGAAACCAAAAGAATAAATAAGATGCACACACACCAAAGTGATATGTGACCCAAGTGACCAGAGTTAAGAGACAAAGATGTCTGATGTTTGAAATAGAGAAGAGGAAGTTCGAATGATTTAGAGAGGTCAAGACAAAAGAGACGTAGGAATTCCAGACCTCTCAGATGTAAGTTGTGGTATTTCTATCCATCAGGGCAAGGCTCACCCAGCTCACCAAACTCAGAGGATTCAATGGTTCTGGCATGTTTACCCAGGGTTGCCACCCGAAAATCTAGAAGTTTAACAATGCTCAATACAGACAAGACATGTGATCCTCCAAGTAAGGTCACGATAATGTTGACAGCAATAGGATACTGTTTAATGGTGTTCCCACCACAAAACGAGTGTGTTTCCAAGGCATCGATCACCCTCCTGTCAGAGATGTGTACGTAAATGGTGATTAAGAAAACTATAT